TTTATAGTCCAGCTTCTGTTAAAACGTTTAATTTCGTTTTTGATATACTCTGAAAGGGCTATAGCCTCTGTGAGGCACTGCTAGAAGAGGAAGTGAGAGAAAATCTCTCCAGTTGGGACACAAACAGAAATAAAAACCTACAATTTTAACTATTTTCCCCACTATTCAAAGCTATAGAAAAAAAGTGGCTGTAGTAAATCAGTAACTATAGCTATTCTAAAATACAAACCCTAGGAACTCTATATTCTTTCATCAGGTATACCAATTTAATTATGTCATGACTGAACTAAGGGAAATGTAAGAGTACAAATGTATTCAAACTAGAAGAGTTAGGCTGGCCATACACCTATAGATTATCTGCAGGTTTTCTGTGGTCAGATGGGAAAAAGTGTAACTGATTCCTCCATCTACGCTAAACTGTGTGGATGGAGGAATCTCCTGCTGGGCCAAGCTTCAGTATCTTGCTAGTCGGCCCCGCTGGCTCTCAAAATACCTGAACAATGCCTGCATCCAATCAGATTGCTCAGGTACTTTGAGAGCCAGTGGGGCTGACTAGCAAGATACTGAAGCTTGGCCCAGGGGGAGATTCCTCTATCCACACAGTTTAGCATAGATGGAGGAATCTGTTGCACTTTTTTCATCTGACCATAGAAAATCTTCAGATAATCTATAGGTGTATGGCCAGCTTTAGGCTGGGTTCACACTCCTCGGGTGCAGTGCATTAATGCACATGCACTAGCATGCTTTTTTTTGCACATTAACATGTAATGCATTAAGGTAACCCATTGAAATGCAACAAAATGAATAGGAAAAAATATGCTCCATTTTTGGGAACACAGCCTGCTACAATGCAGGATAGTATGTTACTGTGCATCATGGTGTGCTGAAAAGCATGTGTGTTGGAGCTGCATATCCTTGGCAACTGGCACCACAATGCATGGCATTGAAATGCACTAACGCACGCAATGTTCAGCAATGCATGTGTTGCTGCAATAACCTGCAACAGAAATGTGTGAACCTTATTCTATATCTACAGCCAAGTTTAGCTTAAGATTGTCTGGACTGCATTTGCACAGGCAGAGGGGCCCTGCGTGTACAAGGTATGATTAAGGCATTGAGATAAAAACATTTTGGGTGTACCTCATATTCCAAGGTCCAACAGTAGTGCTAAGGACACCTAGTAGTCCTGGGCCACGGGTGGCCTCCAAAATTGCCCCAACAGGGATCCAGTATTGCATACACCTATAAAGTGGTCAAGGGATGATTTATACTGATCCAGGGCTACATTTCCGCAGCAGAGAGAGAAACCTACAAATCAAGCTGCAATCATATGACAAAAATTTCTCATGGGTCTCACCAAGTGGTAAAATGACCAAGTGGTAAATCAAAATAAATCATCATTGAGTTATCTTGCTTTTTGCAATTTGTTTTTTGTATCATTACATAAAAACCCATCGTAGTTATTTTAAAATACGTCTGTGCGGCAGAAGAGACAGGAATGCTATGTATTCGGAAAAGTCTGCCAGTTACAGTGTCTGTTTTTCTGTTTATGACTAAAGGCAAAGCTAAAATGCAGGTCGTTATTAGCATGTCTTTTAAGGAAAATCTTTTTAAATGCATTCTTTAGATATGAATGTGACTATGAATAATGGAAATGACAATATGAATTGCTTGAATGATAGAAATAAATAGCACAATAGGGTCTACAATGACAGCTGTGGAAGCATAAATTATCATCCAAAAACGTTTTGTTTGCGTTTACACACAAAGTTTAGCAGACTACAGAAACCACTCAGAAAAAATCCCTTGCTGCATCCGACTAGAGCAAACTGAAACTGAGCCCTTGTACCTAAAGTAGTATTAAACTCTCAAACGTTTTTCAACAATGAATCCATACAAACAAATATACATTGCCCTAAAAAATATTTCTTCACATTTCTGCCCAAATACTTACAGTCCTCATGTTTCAGAACAGCTGGCGCCAACTCTCTCAGCTAGGCTCCCTGAACTTCCTGTCCAGTACAAGCTCACAAGGGACAGCAAAATCTGCAGCAGCTGCACATATATTAGTTTGGAGAAATGAGGAAGGAGGAAAGAGATGTAGGGGGCAGGAGAGTGTCGTGCCTTGCTGTGCCTGAGTGTTTGTGGAGACACACATAGCTTACTATCTATCATACACAAGGATGACTCCATTTGACCCTGCAAGGGAAAGGAGCCATTCTAAAAGGATATCAGAGCCAGTGCTCAGTAGACCAACTGATTACGCAGAAGTCTAAAACTTTTTAACATCAAGGGGCAACATCCATTGTAGGTGTTTTAATCAGCATTTGTAAATACATTAAATGCGTTTTGACTTTTATTTAAGTAAATGTAAAGACTATGTTTGGCATCATGCCCCACAGTTTTCTTAAGCAAATTGTTTTTGTGTGAATTAGGGCTGCGGAAATTAACGATTAATCCCTCGATTAATCGTTAATTTTTTTGATTGATCAAAATTATTTTGATCGGAACTCGCCTCTCCGCCGTCTTCCGTCGGAGATACGGTGACGTCACGGACTCCTCCCCCCTTCCCCGAGTTAACACATTTCTGTAAGATCTAGTTAAGCTTTAGCAGCAGAGCACATGGCAGCAGCCTGCACTCAGCAAGCACCTGCAGGGTAAAGCACCACAAGCAAGCTAATGGATGTTTTAGGCAAATATCTGCAAGATTCAGCTAAGGCATAGCAGCTCAACAGAATCACATACTTCCCTGTAATGCACCTGTAAGGTTTAAGCACACATGGAAAACTGAATGGCTCTACAGACATAACAGATATTCAGAAAGATTCAGCCAGAGCAAGGCAGCACTGCAAGGCCACAGGAAACAGCAGCTGAACTGAAACAGTTTTAAATGAAGGGAAGGTCAAAACTTCCTCTGAACCATGGTGCAAGTCAGATCAGCAGCTACAGGAAATGTTTGGGGGACATTATTGCTGCTACAAGAGATTCTCCCAGTTGCTAAAAATAAGGGTTCACATTCTGTTCTGTGATTGTTTAAACAATGTGTTAACTGCATGAATAAGTGCAATTGTTTGCATGTTATTAGTCTAAACATATAATCTTTTCTATTTTTGGGGCTAATGATCCAATTACATTTTAGGAAGCATTCATGTAGGAATCAATTTAATCCTACAGGGTTTACAAATCTTTTCTTTTCACAGTATACAACTTTTTTTTAATAGGACATTGGAAAAGTTGTAACTGTGCAAAATTAAGTAACCTATTGCAGTCTCTTAGAATTAAAGAACACCTGTATTGTCGAAGAAAATAATAGCCTGAAAAGGGCTACTTCCTATGCTCTTCGGCTTCATCTAGTGGCAGTAATACACTTTGAATGTTGTTTGCACAGCTGCATATTGAGCGATGTGCTATAAATCAGATAGATGAAAATAGTCACTCGCACTCCATGATATTAAAGTCAATGCTGTTTATTGACTGAGATACCACACATCTCCTTAGCTAAGGAGATGTGTGGTATCTCAGTCAATAAACAGCATTGACTTTAATATCATGGAGTGCGAGTGACTATTTTCATCTATCTGATTTATAGCACATCGCTCAATATGCAGCTGTGCAAACAACATTCAAAGTGTATTACTGCCACTAGATGAAGCCGAAGAGCATAGGAAGTAGCCCTTTTCAGGCTATTATTTTCTTCGACAATACAGGTGTTCTTTAATTCTAAGAGACTGCAATAGGTTACTTAATTTTGCACAGTTACAACTTTTCCAATGTCCTATTAAAAAAAAGTTGTATACTGTGAAAAGAAAAGATTTGTAAACCCTGTAGGATTAAATTGATTCCTACATGAATGCTTCCTAAAATGTAATTGGATCATTAGCCCCAAAAATAGAAAAGATTATATGTTTAGACTAATAACATGCAAACAATTGCACTTATTCATGCAGTTAACACATTGTTTAAACAATCACAGAACAGAATGTGAACCCTTATTTTTAGCAACTGGGAGAATCTCTTGTAGCAGCAATAATGTCCCCCAAACATTTCCTGTAGCTGCTGATCTGACTTGCACCATGGTTCAGAGGAAGTTTTGACCTTCCCTTCATTTAAAACTGTTTCAGTTCATCTACAATTCTGGTATAAACAGCTCTGTTCAGGTCATGCCCTAGCATTTTAATTGAGTGCATCTTAGTCATATAAGAATACCGATTGCTTTCTGTCTGTAAGGTATACGTGTACTTTTAATTAAAAAAAGCTGGCATGGAAATCTCCCCCACACAAAAAAACCCTCATATGTAAGTATGGACCCGTCTGGATTGCCTTAACTACACATGTGGAATTAACGCTACGCATAACACAGTAGAGACAGCATGCAAGCACCTTTCTGAAGAGTGGGAGAACTCTTTACAGCTAAGTTTGCAAAAGGATGTCACCAGCACACCATTTAAGTGACATCAACAAAAGTCCATCTATTATTGGAGTACTGTCATTCCAGTACAAGCGCTTTCGGGGCCGCACAGGGTCCCCTTCATCAGGCTCAGAATGAAGCCCACAGCTTTTTCTCCACTCAGAGCGGCTTGTTGCAGGTTACACAGCAGGGAAAGCCTCCCCGCTGTGTAACCTGTCATGGACGGAGCACTGCCTCTTAATTACAGGCAGTGCTACATCTGGGTTTTGACAGGTAGTTAGGTTACACAGCAGCGGGCTTCCCCACTGCTTGTGCAACCTAACTAGTGAGTCAAGAGCTGTCACAGCCTCTACTCTTTGTTAGAGGCGTGAGCTCTGTGGATGGTTTGGACCAATGGCAAAGCGCCATTGGTCCAAGCTGTCCAATCGTAAAAAAAATTAAAATCCAACAGCGGGTACTTTGGAGCTGGAAAGGAGTGGAGGGGAATAGCTGAGGTGAGTATCAGGGGGATGGAGGGGTCCTTTGCCCAGAATGTGAAAGCAACAATGTCTATTTAATATAGTAGTACCTGGCTCTAAAGAAGTACCGCTGATTGATATAGATTGTGTGTGTGTGTATGTATGTATATATATATATATATATATATATATATATATAGATGTCAGATTATAAATTATGTTGTTTTATATATTTTGGGGGCATAGGTTGCTTTTCTTTGATCTAGTCTTTTTTGGGGGGGGATTTTGTTAGCTTTGAGTGGGAAACAGTTGGAGCCTCTGCTATGTTTTTACTATTGTCTGTGACTCCATTAGAGAGATTTTGCTTCATTGTTCTATAACAGCAGGACCAAAAATTAAACCGGTTGAGGTCACCATGAGAGGAAGACACAGACAGCGATCAAAACCTTATGAAGGTTCTAAGCGTTTTGTTTTTGCTGCTGTATGTGTCTCCGGTGGAGAGTTTTCCCATCCATTCCCACTTCTCTCACTGCCTGTCACTGGGACAGGAAGTGAGGAAAGATCTCTTGAAAGCATGCACAGACAGCAACAATCCTTTTTAACGCTTGCCCCTAAGGCCTGGTTCACACCTGGGCGTTTTGTAGCGCGTTCAAACGCTCTGCAAAACGCTCTGCAAAACGCTCAAACACCGAAATCCCATTATTTCCTATGGGTATTGTTCACACCTAAAGAAGTACAGGAGCTTCTTTGGGGCGTTTTTGTCGCGCGTTTCCATTGGGATACAGCCAAGCAGCCATCGGAAAAGCGCATTTGTCGTGCGTTATTTTACCTCGAAACGCGTCACGAAACACGCAACAACGCGCATATTCGATATGCCTAGGTGTGAACCCAGCCTTAAAGTTTTGGCTGCTAGTTTGTTTTAATAAAGTTGTTTATCTGGAGCAGTTGCCTATGGCAACCAATCAGCTTCTCTCTTCAGTTTGTTGAGTTAAGCTCAAGATGGATGCTGATTGGTTGCCATCCACAACTGCTCCAGATTTAGTCTGCTCCAGTTTTGTTTAATTCCCCTCACTGTCTTTCAGTTGTGATGATAGTGTTTTCCTGCCTGTGACCCCATCAAGATGTTGACTGCTTAAATAATACATTCCATCACTATACAGTATTGCACATTTCAGCAGAACATAAAACAAGGGCTTCTACTTGACCTTAAATGTAATTTCTAAAACAGACACCCCAATTCTTTCAGCTGCTGCTAATAAAAGTGTGTGCAAAATTAAAATGCTTAAAAGATACCATCAGGAACATTATCAAATGCATATACCAGGCATGACAAAGCATCAGCCATTCAGCTGATGGGGAATCGCAAATCTCATCATAAACTGCCAATCTGTAGATGGCAGGAATGCAGGAGCTATTAGCTCCTCAACAACCACAACACCAGATTAAACAATGATAGAACTGACTAGACTGCAGTAACAAAGCGGTAAATCATTTAGTAAATATAATGTGATTCATGCCTTCCTTGCATAATACACAATCTCCCACCTGGAACATAGAGAAACTGCACCTGATGCCTAAAACCCCAGGTGCGATTATTGGTTATGCTGTGCTAAGCATGGTTACCCTTTATGTTCAAATATGCAGAATGGGTCATAGACATTAACTATTTAAAAAAAATAATCAAAAGTAATTTAAATATGATGCATTGTACTGTATGAAAAGAAGAACAGAAGAGATAACATTCTCTCCTTCCTAGAAAGTATAATAAGTTAAATGTCTTTGTTTGAAGTTCAATTTAGTGTGTCCAAAAGATTTTGAATGTGCTCTCACCTCTCTGTATGCTACACTACATTTCCCATTTTTTAGCCACCTAACAAGATCCATTTTGTCTTTTTGTATCAG